AGTATATACATATACTCAGGTGCTTTGGGTAATAATGGTTTCCAGGTCTAGGGAGACTTTCATGATAATGCTGTACTGTGCCAACTCTTTGAGACTGCCTGATGAACTAAAGAGAAATAGTGTTTGTACAAACTTTTCCCCAATGATGGGTTTTACACTGGGGAGTGAGAAAGGATCCTCACTGAGCATGGCTAACTAGAAAGCAAAACAGATGATCCAAATTTCAAATGCAATTATTAGGTTGTGGATAAATAGAGACACAGCAGAGCAGTGAAGAAGACTAATCTTATAAAAGGGTAAAGGAAAACGGGTGCCACAACTGCACTGGAAAGTAGAGAAGTAAACTGTGGTAGATGGTGGAGGGGGGCAGCAAGGAATAAATGTTGACGATTTGAAAGGTGAAGAGGTTAGCCTAGGTTGGATAATACAAGTACAGTCTTTGGTGACAAATACCTGGGCTTAAATTCTTACCTGTAGCAAAATGGTGACTTTTAGCAATTAAGAGTGTGAGCTGAACATCAGTATTTCCACCTAATTCACAATTTGAGGATTATGTAAGTACATTGCTTAAACTATAACATGGTATTTGGTCACTGGAGCTTTTATCATTAAGGATAGAAGGGTCCAAAACAGAATAGTTTGCAGTTTCAGAAGAGAGTAAATAGCTATAAGACAAATAAAGCACAGTTTCTCACAGGTTAGAGAAGTTTGAAAGTACACTGCTGAACAGTAATGTTACTTTAACCACTAGGTGGCAATGATACAGCTGAATTTTACTGACAAGGTTAATTTTTAAAATAAAGAATAAATTCAGGCAGAAATTCCAAGAAACTTTTTAGTACATATTTTCATTTGAGAAAAATGAGGAGTCCATTTACATACAATTAATTTATAGAAGGTGTAATCATCTGATTCAATATCTGTTAACTTCTCATGTTTCTTTTACTCTGTGCACTGAGGCAATTCATGAAGCACATAAAACTTTTAAAGTTCTCATCACAGATGTCTTTTAAAAAATCTAGACATATATCATGAAGATAACAGAAATTATGGAAAGCAAAAATCTTTTTGAAGTTTAAGAATTCTAAGAAAGGCACTATAAAATGCAAAGTATTTATATAAGTTAAACTTTTAAAAAATGACTGATATAGAACAATTCTGTTTTTTTAAAAAAAAAATTAGGGCCAAAACATTAAATAATATGGAGTTTGCTTTTAAATCACAAATTATATTAATATTTATATAGGTAGTGTTTTCGTATCTTGAATAAACATACTAAATTTACTAAGCAAATATATCAAAACTTTTACAAATTCTAGAATAAGTTTTACAAGTGTCAAAATAATAAATGATGAATTTCTTAAGAATCTGAAAATTTCCATAATTATCTCTACTTTCTTCATAAAGCAAGTCATACATAATCTATGGCTTATTAAAAATAAAAACTTTATTTTTTTTCTTTTCATATGAAATAAAGAGACGGTATGACAATTTCCCCCCCAAATTATTCACAATATCAAGTACACAGTAAAAAACAACAACAAAACTTTCCAATTCCCAAGATGGTCACCCACATATAAGGTGGGAGCTCATGTAACATTATAGAACTTGTAATATAATTAGGTGAATAAATAATAAACCTATACTGTTATTTAATTCATAATAAAAAACCCAATTAAAAGAAGCCTATTTATTCCCTTTGTATAAATAACTTAAAGCTCCTCAAAATTTCAACTTCATTTTCTACAAATGAATAGAATACTTTATATATTTTTCCAATAGTTTTCTCATTAATTTAGCAATTACTTCCTATATTTAATTCAGTTTTCAGAAAAATCTCCCCTATTGCCATCCAAACATTAATGTAACATAACTATGATTTCTAAGACATTTTTATAATTCATAGATTACTGTTTCCTCCTCATTATTGAAATTCATTTTGAGTTATTATAGATCACTCTGCAATATAACAATATAGATATTTCCTCATTCTTTCAGCACATACAGATACACAAAGCAGACAACCATTTAAAAAGGTTAGCACAGAAAAGATTACTGTGGCAGTGCTTACAAATTAAAAATTTCAGGAAAATGCTCTATTTGTTATTATCTGTAACATTTGCTAGAAAATGTAGGGAATGCCACTGTTATGGGAGGGATAATTATAGATATACAAAAGTGAAAACATGTGTACATGTAGTTCATATTGATACAGAACCAGCTTCAGATTATCTGCATAAGTAAAGGGACAAGAGACACAGATGATGCAAAACACATAATCCTCAACTTCAGGTACATTTTTGTCTCCATATTTCATAGGACTGTGTCGGACAATTCAGAACACACACACAAAATAAAGCCACTATTGTAGAGAGGTTAAGGGTTACAAACAGTAATATTGAAATGCCATTATTGGCTTGAGTTGCTCATCTTCTTTTTATTTCTGATGGTGGCTCTAAGTTTACGTATCACCAGTTTATCGGGCAGAATTATATCACTTTGCTGTTCTAGATAATCCAGTAAGTTTTCAGTCCATTGGAGAGCAGCTACATGATTGATATGTTTCTCTGGAATTAGGTCTATTGCCTCCTCCTCATTTTCACTAGATTCCTCTGTCTGGCCTTGGGCTCTTCTGATGATTTCACTGTCAGTTAACACTTCATAACCTGGTTCAGTACTGTCCACTTCAAGCCATTTCTCAATGTTTTCAGTAGTCACATTTTCCAACCCTTTGGTGTGTTGTAAAATGGTGGCCACAGTAGCCAGCGAAATATCTTCTTCATCGAAGTCCAAGCCTTCTCTCTCCTCTATGGTAGGGAGAATCTTCTTCCATGCTCGGCTAATGGTAACCGGCTTCACTAAATTCCAAGCCATTGCTACTTCATACAGTGCATCCAGGAGAGTCAGCTTTTTCCAGAATGACTTCAGGTCATTGCCCTCTTCCAAGTTGCTCTGGAGAAGACCGGCACGATAGTTTGTCTTCATGGTTGCTATGACGCCCTGGTTGGAGGGCTGAATCAGGGAAGCCACATTCGGTGGTAAGTATTTAGCAAATATTTGGCCATCATCCGACCTAAGGACATTTTCATTGGGATGTGTTGGCGAGTTATTCAACAAGAGCACCGCCTTTTCCTGCAGGCCTCTGGAGCGCAAGTGCTCTCGAACTTGTGGCACGAAGATCTTGTCAAACCACTGCCGGAAAATGGAAAGATCCATCCATGCACCTTTCTGGCTGAAATAAGAGACTGGCAGGTTTGAGGTGTCGGCTGACTTGAAGGAGCAAGGTTTCTTTGGCTTCCCCACAACGCAAAGTTTGAGTTTGTGTAAACCCGTTGCATTGGCACAACACATGATGGTGACTCTTTCCTCAGCTGACTTGTGCCCAAAGACTGTGCGTTTACCTTTGATGACTGAAGTCCTGGAAGGCAGGCATTTCCAAAAGAGCCCAGTTTCATCTGCGTTGTAGATCTGTTCAGGCTGCAGATTCTCCCGTTCGATGAAGTCTCGAAAGTTGTTACAAAAATCTTCCACGGCTGTCTCGTCTCCGTGTAACCTTTCGTTCCTAATGTTAATTTCCCGAATGCTGTGCCGCTGCTTAAAGCGGGTCAGCCAGCCGGCAGAGGGGTTAAAATCGCCATCCATCCCTAAGGCGTAAAAGAAGAACTCGGCCCTTTTGGCACAAATGGGTCCAGACACGGGATTCCCTTTGGCTCTTTGCTGGTTGAACCACTCCAGCATCGCTCGGTCCAGCTCCTCGTACATGGACGGCTTCATGGATTTCCTTTTGGCCAGGAGGCTCGTGGAGTCGGAACTGCTCGCGTAGGTTATAATTTTCTCCTTGTTTTTCCTGATGTCCCTCACCGTGGTCTCCCCAATGCCATAGATCACTGCCAGCTGTTTGGAGGAGCCTCCGTCTTCGAGTTTCTTGATGATATCAAGCTTATCTTTAATCGTCAGCACTACTCGCTTCCGTTTCCCGGACATGGCGAGGCCACACTCTCCCAAGGATGCAGTCTGCAAAATCTCTTCTTCTCCCGGGAAACTCCCTTCCACTCGGTGTCACACTCTTGTCTTCCCACCTGACCACAGGCACCTGGTGGCCCTGGCCCCGTCCTGTCCAGGCTGGGCTGGCAAAGAGACAGCAGAGGAAGGTGAGAGGGAAGTTGGAGGGAACAGGCCTTTCACTTACAAGGCGGGGGAGGAGGCCCCGGGGTCCCCGCGGATAATCAGGAAACACAAACATCTGTTTTATTCCCCCCAAGTGACCGCGGGAAGGACTCTCACACCCACCGTGACCGCGAAGAGCCTCCTCCACGCCGCCGGGAACCCGGGGGACGGCCCCCACCTGCCCCGCCCGAAGTTACTACAGAGAGAACGGAAGAGCCCGGAGTCCGCGACCGGACCCCTTCCCCGGGGCACGGCGGGCGGCTGGAGTCCCGCCCCGGCAGGCGGGCAGGCAGCCCTTTCCACCGCCAGCCCCGCCGCCCCGCGGGGGCTGGGCCCGCACAGTCCTCCCCGCCCCGCCCCGCCCCGGCCGCCGCCGGGCCCCACTCCCCACCTCGGTTGGAAGGAAGCGGGAGCCCGCTCCGCTCCCAGACTAACGCGCAGCGACCGCTCCTCCCCTTGGAGCACGCTCCCGGAAGACGCCCCCGCCCGCCGCCTCTGGCCCCGCCCCCAGCCCCGCCCAGAGGCGGGACTTCCCCCGGACCCCGGAAGCGAAGGGAGCGCGGCTGGTCCGGAGTGAGAGCCTGGGGCGGGGGCGGGGCGGGGCGCTGTGAAAGCTGAGCGCGCGGGGGCGGTGCGGGCCGGCTCGGGGCGGGGACTCGCTCGGGCTCCGCCCGGCGGCGGCGGCGGCGGCGGGCCTCCGGAGGGGCGGGGAGCCACGCCTCCCGGCGGGCGGGTCGGTCGCGGGGAAAGTCCCCGCGGAGGCGCCGGGGCGGGCGGAGCAGCCCGGGATGCACCCCCCACTCGCGGGTCACGCGCTGGCGGGGAGGTGGGCGGGGCTGGCACGGGCACTGATAGCGGCTCTTTCTTGCGCGCGGGCTTCTGGCCTTTGCCGCCTGTTTTTGTTTCCCGGGCGCGGGGCTCCTCTCTAGGGGATTGTGTCGTCCCGCGCGCGTCACCATCACCGAGAAGAAGGGCGGTCCGGGGGTCCGGGCTCGGAGCTGCGCTCTCCCCGGCACCGAGGCAGAGGAGCGGACCCGCGGGCACGCCGCGCCGGGCACTTGCGTCCCGCCCGGGAGCCAGGTTTGTAATCCTGAAAATGACTCCCGTGTTTATCAGAGCTCACTCCCGGGGATTCTGTGCCTCCTCCTGCCGCTCATCCCTGCGGGCGGTACGGAGCCACCCTCAGCGGCACAGACTGCAAGGAAGGCTGTGGCTGTCTGGGGCGCCAAACTGGCAGGACCCACTGCGAAATGGGGGAATACCTTGATAATAAGTGTGTGTGTGTGTGTGTGTGTGTGTGTGTGTGTGTGTGTGTGTGTGGAGAGAGAGAGAGAGAGAGAGAGAGAGAGAGACAGAGAGAGACAGACCCACACACACACACACACTTGGCTTTCCTGTCTTTAGGTGTTTCTTCCTGTCTTTCTATTTCCTATTCCTCGCTGCTCATTTGCCTAGCCCGTGGAAGGTCTGTGATCCATCTATTGCCTGCATCGTGTATCATGCTGACTGGGTTTGATGTCCTTAGTAATTCCATCAGATTGTGAGCTCCTTAGGAGCCGAGACCCTGTTGTTGATTTCTCCTAGCGGTGCCACAGTTCGGTGGGGGTGTTCGCCCATAGAATGCATCCAATAACTTACTTCTTTGCTTATTAAGGTTGCCCCTCAACACTGTCGCGGAAAAGCACACATCAAGGAGAGGCGATGTTTTCCAAGTGGGACTGTATCCCTCCTCGTGGGTTTCACCGCGCTTCAGATCTCAAAGGGTCAGCTGTCAGCAACATTGTTCACAGGGCCATTCCCAGAATGAATCTTCTCCTGAGACTTAACCTCCAAGTCTAGATGGAAGGGTAGTTCTTCTGCTGGGACATGCGAGTGGCGTTCAAGTGCCCCTTGTTGGTGTAGAGTTACTCTGTTTGAGAAAGAACACAAGCCATGCAGAGTGTCCCCTTTATATTTTTCGGCTGTCATGTATGTGCATCTTACATGATAGTGACCAAGACACACAAAGGTGTGATAATACTGATCCTCTTCATCCACTTATTTCATGCTTTCTGTGTGGAGTCTCTGTGGTTTTTCTTGTTGATTAAAGATAAGGTGTCTTTAGAGAAACTTCATTAAATTCTCATTTCCTGAAATTGAATATGTGTGTATATATATATACACATATAAATTGAATGTGTGTGTGTATATATATATATATATATATATATATATATATATATATATATACATATATAGAAATTACATCCATTAGCATGGATTCTTTCATCCTAATAATGAAGAAATGTCTAACCTATCAATTTAGCTTTACCCTCTCATTTCTCTCAGGTTCAGTTCACTTCCTTTTCTCTCTGTCTCATTCTTTCACACCCCACCACCCTTGGTAACATACTGAAAGTATCCACAATTTTAAAAAGAGGAACCATCATATTTCAATTATCTTCTTTTTCAGAATTTTTGGCATTATTAATGTAAGTGGTAATTTTGAAATATGGAGAGACCATGGAAATTTGCAACTGGACCAAGTGAAACATGATGTATTTTAATTAAATAAAATGTGCCTCCTCAGACATTTAACACTAAAGTTTTCCAAAATAAAAGTTTTCTCATAAGAAACTGCCTTTTTTTCCCCAAAAAATTTTTAGTTTTTAACCTAATGGGGAATCCCTTAAATTTTGTGCTGTTATCGATAAGATGAGAGAGAATTCTGCAGATTTTCATCTCTTTAGTACGTTATTTGTTGGATAACTGGTTTTCAGAAGTTTCTGGTGCAAACCCACGTGCAGTTCAGTTACGTAATTAAAGAAGCATGTTTGTAAACTTGAAATTATTTTAATGATTATTTTCTGAAGCTAAAATTTAGCATGAATGAGAGATTATAAAAATCATGACTTTTTTAGAGGCATAATTTTTACTACCTCGTGCAAATATAATCTTGGCAGCTGTCACTGTGTTGCATTGGACTGGGAGTCAGGAGCCCTGGTTTCCAGTCCCGCCTCTCTCACTAACTATGCGATCTTCAGGAAGTCATTTAAAGTCTCTGTCCTTGGATTTGGTTTTTGTAAGTAAAGATAGACAATATCTTCCTTTTAGGATTATTGTCAATATTTTAAAAGATATATAAAAATGCACTGAAAAAATATACAGATATGGCTTTTTAAAGTAGCTGAACTGTGCCATCATTGGATAGTGTGACATTCTTAATTGGTGTTTTTTTTTTAATTTTTTTTTTTTTTTACCATTGTCATAGTAATGGTAAACACATGCATTGCTATAATGTGTTTAGAGTATGGAATATGTATATTTGTAAATGAAACATCTAGTGTATATGAAACTGCTTTTCAGTACTAATAAAATCTTTCACTTTCATATCCCTGCTGTTCATATTTGTTTAGTGTATCTACAGAAGCCGTATTTGTCATTTGTTTTTATAATTTTTTATTATTTCTCCCAGGTCAGATTTATAAGAAAGCCTTCCATTTCTCAGTAAAGCATAAAGCACCTACACAATTTGTGCAAATTCAACTATATGTGCTTTAAAAATATTCCTTTGTACAACATGGCTTCAAAAGATAAGCTGCTTAATTTGTCTGGTGCTTAATAAAAAAAGGAAAAACAGTAATTTGTTTAAAACATGGAGGAGAAACTGGGTGGGTGGGCATATTTTGAAGCAGTATGGTATACAAAAAAAACAACAACACTTTAAACAGTAATGTATTTTTCAAGGGTAATTTTAGCCACACACAATTTTCTTTGCTGATGTTGACATAAGCCTTCTGTAAGACACAACCTAATGCCGGGGTCTTTCCCAGCATTTAGAATCGTTCAGGAATCTGGAGAAGGCGCTGCATGTAAATTAATAAAGAGACTAGAACTATAGTATGAATTTGTAATCCATCGGGGAGCCAGCGGAAGCTTAGCTATAAGAACCAAGTTATCTTCCTCTCCGGACCCAGGGCTCTTTTTATTTCCACATCTTGCCCCATAGCAAAGTAGATATACATATCAAAGGTAAGGTTTAGTGTTCAGTAGGCATTGTCCGTTTTAGGGGAACTGCCTTCAGCTGTTCAGGTGTTTGGCCAGCAGAAGGCAGTAACCTGTAGATCAAAATGCCTTTAGCTGTCTGGCAACAGGCAATAATATATGCAAGTCTTTAGGTGTGGGGAATGCCCTTAGCTATTTCAGCAGCAGGTAATATGTATCCCCAAGTTCCATCAACCTTTTGATGAAATTTCTTGCATTTATGACATGCTGGAATTAGCTTCCAGCAACAACCCAAGTGTAATTTTAAATAGCAGAATGTTTGGTTTATTAACTGGAATTTGTTAAATTGCTGTTTCAGTGTTGAATATATTGTACAGTATATTGTGATAAGATGATACTTCAGCCTATACTATAATTTCTGTTGTGTAATCTTAACAATTGTTCTGATTTTCTATAAGTTATTACCATTTTAGGAGTAGTCACATTACCTTTAAACCATCAGAATTTGTATAACTGAGTGGTTATTTCTCCCACCCCAAAAAAGCAATCATTTGGAGAAGCAATAAACTTGGTTCAGTAATACTGTCATTGCTCATAAAAAATTTCAAAATTACCTTCAGTTTGCAACACATATCTTTAATGGTACTTAATCTTTTGAAATTGGATTTAGTTTCTGGAAAATTCTCACAGTCTTTTGTAACTGAGACCAGTGAATAAAGTTTATATTTAAACCACTCTTTGGGATAAAAATGAAGAAAGATTATTCTCATATATTTATATATACGTTTGATACTATGGTTTATAGAAAACCTCCAGGAATATTCTGTACTATGATAGAAATATTGGAATAATCAGCCTCATAAGGGGTGATTTGTTTGAAGGAGATGGCACTCAGCTGAATACCTAAGCTCTTGTACATGTACTAGAGGCCCAGTGCTTAAAATTCGTGCACTGGGGGTGCAGGTCCCCTCAGCCTGGTCTGTACCCTCTCACAGCCCGGGACCCCTCAGGGGATGTCTGCCTGCCAGGGGGATCTGGCCTAAGCTGGTAGTCAGACATCCCTCTCGCAGTCTGGGGCTCTCTCAGTTCGAGACCTCTCACTCCTTACTGCTCACCTGAGGCAGGAGAGGCCCCTGCCACCACCACTGCACTCGCCAACACTGACCACAAGGGGGTACCTCCTGCGTTGAGCGTCTGCCCCCTGGTGGTCAGTGTGCATCATAGCAACTGGTCATTTTGCTGGACATTCCGCTGTTCAGTTGATTTGCATATAAGACTAGCGACCCAGGGCACAAATTCTTGAATGTGTGAGGTTCAGCCTTCCTGTCCTGATTGGGACCTATTGGGCTGACCAGGGGGAGGGGCTACTGGTGGTTGGTCAGCTGGCCCCGCCCCCTGGCTGAACTCCTGATCCAGGGGACAATTTGCATATTGGCCTTTTATCATATAGGAGAATTATGAGGTCAGTCTCATAATATTTCTAGTTTCCTTAGCAACCACAGAAGTATATATGTGCTATTGTGTTACTGTTTTTCTAGTATCTTGTCTCTAAGTGTCCCTTTACTATACAGTTGTGATAATTTTGATGGAGTTTATCCTTTTCTGAATTGGACTTATAGCATTTGTTTTCCTTTCCCAATACCATGCTCTGCTTCACCATGAAACTTTTTTTTTTAATCTAGTTATATTATTGGATTGTTAGTAAGTTTTCTGTTGTGTTACATTGTATCTTTAACTGAGTGGTTTAAAGCCATTGCCATTTTGTAAATTATATAAAGGCTGCAATCTTAGTGGACAGTTGTCTCTCAGCTTTGCACCAATATCTTTTTTTAATGTCAATTATGACTTTATAACTTTCTTCATATAAACTGATTGATCCTTTATGTTACAATTCATATCATATCTCTGTTCATAATTTTTCTTTGCTTACAGGATGAATCATTCTGATAATCTAATACTACTTTTCTATACTCATGTTATTTTTCCAGCATAAAGCCTTTTATCACACCTTTTAGATCACATTATTATTTACTAAACTTATTACGTTCTTTCTCAATGCCAAAGTTTTGACTTTAACATTTTTATCTGCCCCAAATCACTTTTTTCTTTCATTCTTTTTGTTCAAATATAACCAATCTGTTAGAAGTTTATCAGATCATATCTGTTCAGTAAAACCTTTAGTGAAGCACATACTGTTCTGATCTTTCTGCATCTTTATACTTTTATTGATTATTTTTATCATTCACTTGGTAATGAATGAATACTACCTTGCATTTTTCTTACTATGTATATATTTATATGTTTTATTTCTATATCTGGATATAATCTTCTAAAGAACAGTACCATGAATTTTTCTATGTATCTCTTTGAGCAAAACATACAGCATAATTCAGAATAGGTGTTCATATAATGGTTTCATAGATGTTCAATAAATTATTTGTATTTAAAAAAAATACCTTTATTGATATTGAGGAAGGGAGAAGGAAAGAGAGCTAGAAACATCAATGAGGAGAGAGAATTATTGATCATCGGCCTCCTGCACAATTAGAGATCCAGCCCACAACCCAAGCATATGTTCTGACAGGGAATCAAACCTTGACCCCCTAGTTCGTAGGTTTGTGCTCAACTACCAAACCAACATGGCTGGGCCCAATAAATTATTTGCTGAATAACCATCCTGCCATCTTCACTCAGGTAGTTCATGTGATATTACCTTTGTGAGTCATGTTATAATACCAAATAAATACAGTTTGTACCATAAATGCACTCATTGTTGTAATCTGGTTATCATTATCATATCCCTAATCATTTTATTTTGTAGAAGCTTAAGTGAAAATGGTACGTGAAACAAGGAGTACTTCTAAAATTCAAGAGCGTGAGCAGAAGTCTCGAGTTGATTGGAAGCGGACTAAAAGGAGTAGCATCGCACAGTTACTGGATAGTGATGAAGACCTTGAGAGTGAAGACTGCGAGAGCGAGGAAGAGAGCCATAGTGATGAAAGTTTTGACAGTGATGAAGAGCTTGCTAGTAACAAAGGGCTGGAAGGTAATAAAAAGCCCGAAGATGAAAGTGAGGTTAAAGTTGAAAGTGAAGGAAACAACTGTGAGCATCTCATTGACACTGGCAGCAGTTCAACAAACGAAAAGAACGAAAGCAATCAGAATAATATTGATTCAACAGACCGGGAAAAGCATTCAAGTCAAGAGGATGCTGATCTCAACAAGCACACTGAACGAATAATAGCGGAGGATTTAGAAGAAGAAAACGTAAAGCGAGGGAGGAGAAGAAGACACTCCTCGGTGATGAGTGACAGTGATGGGAGAGGCGACAGTGACGACAGTGACGTGGCAGTGAGGAAAGGAGGTGTTAAACGGCTGCGTCGAGTGGTTGAAGATGAATGTTCTCCTCCAGCGGAGCTGGAGCAGAATCAACCCGAGAAAACAGCAGCTGCAAAAAAGCGAGAACAACTCCGGAAGCTGAAAGAGCTTTCAAAACAGAGATCTCGTCAGAGACGTAACAGTAGTAGAGATTTTGAGGTGTGTTTTATTTTATTGGTTTGTTATTATTTTTAAATTTTTATTTAAAAGTATTTACTTTTTATAAAAATGAAAGGGCTGAGTCTGTTCTATTTCTCTATAATTCTAGAATTTATTTTTAATGACATATCCATGAACACGTTTAATTGAAGTACTGTATCTAATATATTGTTTTATCATGAGCTTCAGTCCATCTTTCTTGTAATATTAAAAGACTATTTGTTTTGTATGGTGTTTCCTGTTTTTAGCTTCTTATAACCTTAATGTCTATTTTAAACATTTTACATATATAATTTCCAAATTGCAACATTTAATATGATTTTTTAACCTTAATATGTGAAATTAATTTCTATGTATCATTTGTTAGGGTTTGGGATTTCATCTTTTAATATAATTTCCATACAATTTACTGAAGAAATATGTTTTAATTTAATTAGGACTCTGAAAAAGAATCTTGCCCAAGCAGTGATGAAAATGATGAAGATGAGGAGGAAGAAGAGGTTGATGAATCTGATGAAGATGGAGATAATTACATTATGGATGACTTTGTAGTACCAGATGAGGAGGGTGATGAAGAGAATGAAAGCCAGCGAGGAGAACAATTGGCTACATCACAACTGAAATCTAATTCACTTTGTAAGTTAAATATCAAGAAAATGTTTTATGACTGTTCTAATCGTGACATTATATCAGGTATGAAATCAGCCTGTTACTGTCATGTTGTAAATTGATTAGGAACTGTGACTTCATTTTCTGAACTTTAATTTGTTGGTTTGATAGTAGTTTATCCTAGTGGTTTTAGGAGCATTTATACTCTTAAAAATGATTGAGGACCCAAAGAGCTTTTATTTTTGTGGGTTATAGCTATCAGTATTTACTATTGTAGAAATACAAAAGAGAAGTTTAAAACATATTTATTTATTAGTTCACTTAAAAATAACATTAATAAACTCATTAACATACACAACATTTTTATAAACAATAACTATGTTTTTCTCCCAAAACGAGAATGACATTGTTTTACTTTTAAAAAAATCCTCACCCAAGGGTGTTTATTTATTTATTTGTTAATATATTTGTATTGACTTCAGAGAGGGAGAGAGAGAAAGAAACATCAGTGATGAGAGAGAATCAGTGATTGGCTGCCTCCTGCATGCCACACACTGGGGATCAGCCTGCAATCTGGGCATGTGCTCTGACCGACCAGGAATCAAACCTCGAACTGTGACTTCCTGGTTCATAGATGGATGCTCAACCACTGAACAGTGATGGCTGGGCAGGATATGTTTATTGATTTGAGAGAAAGAGAAACTTCCATTGGCTGCTCCCCTCTCTCCCACCCACCATATGCCTTGACTGCAGCCCATGCATGTGCCTAACGGAGAATCCAACCTGCAATCTTTTTGGTGTACGGGATGATGCTCCAACCAACTGAACCACCTGGCTGTAGCATTGTTTTTCATCTTAATAAATATATTTAATAACCAGCTTAATAGGAGGCAAGGCAGTTGGGTTCTTATATCTGGTTTTACATTCAGTCTGTTGTAATATATTTTGTTGCAATAGATGAAGACAATCTTGCTTCACACAAATAGCTGGAAAAGGGAGGAGTATTTTCAAACTAATTATGTATATTCTTATTTGACACAATACAAAACTTTGACAAGTCATAGAACCTTAAAGAATAGTTATAGTATGAAATCTGAAATCATATAAATGAAATTTTAGTACGTATTTACATTACAATGTTTTGGTCCATCTTGCACTTTGAATTGATCTTTTTTTGCCCATGCATGATTTTGTAACATTATGCATTGGTCATTTGGAAAATACTGGTTCACTAGGTTTTACAAATCTTATAAATATTGATAGATTTCATGACACAGTGTTTTTAAAATATATTTTATTGATTTTTTGCAGAGAGGAAGGGAGAGAGATAGAGAGCTAGAAACGTTGATGAGAGAGAAACATCGACCAGCTGCCTCTTGCACACCCCCAACCGGGGATGTGCCCGCAACCAATGTACATGCCCTTGACCGGAATCGAACCTGGGACCTTTCAGTCCGCAGACCGACGCTCTACCACTGAGCCAAACCGGCTTCGGCCACAGTGTTTTTAATATTTGGTAATATCACCATCAGTTTTATCAGAAAATTCTTTAGGTTGGGAAAGCTGTCAAGTTCACAGTAACAGATACAAATTTTTCAAAATTCTACTTTCTACTTAAAAGTCTGTTGTTTTTTTGTCTTTGGCAACCAAAACACAAGATCTTTGTTCTTTTTTGAGAAAGTATTTGACAAATACCAGATAACTATAATTTGTCAGTCGTTCTTTCAAGTAAACATGGTGCATCATGACAGTTGCTGCTTTTTAAGCTCCCAGCTCAGTTTTTTTTTTTTCTCAAAGTATGATTGATCATACTTTGATACACAGAACAAGTACTTTCTCCATTCATCTCATTTCATCACATTTAAATGCTCAAAAGATGGATACTCAGGACTTAATAAAATTAATAATGTTTTACTACTTTGTGAAGGACATTCTTAAGTGAAAGTAGCTTTGTTACTGAGTGCATAGCAGTGATGACCAGTAGCTTGGTGCTACCTCCATGCTAGGAGGCCAGTTGCCTTACCCACAGTTACTTTTGCACCATCATTTAAAATCTCAACAGTAAGAATAGCAAGTGATTATCTTAGTGTTACTGGTTTGACCTCACAGATCACAAATGGACTTGGGAATTTACCACAGTCTACAGGACTTGAAGTTTTCATATTTTCAAATAACTAATGAAAATATAAATAATAGGACCCTGAAAATTTAGGGTGTCTTCAAGTATTATATGTGAATTGTACGTGAATTCAAAGGTTTTTATGATATTTTACTCTGGAAGAAACAGGCTGTTGGAGGTACACTTTTTTATCTTAATGTTTTTATAAGGGCAAAAACTAAGTGTATTATGATTCAGTTTAACCACTTGTTTTTTAATGAAATAAAATGAGGTGTATATCAAATTTAAAGAAATTTAAGAGATGTCAGTGATAGGCATTTATGTATTGAAAGCAAATGACTAGTGTACTTAGATCCATAAGCATTGGTTCACGTGCTGCTTTGATATTTGAATATCAGGGAAATTCAATTAGGAAGTATCCCATCATTCTGGATTATAATATCCAGAATGTGATAGAACATTTGCTGGGAGATACCCATCCATACCTACTCCTGCTAATTAATGAAAGTAAAAATCCAGCGTGTAGAACTATTTTAACTTCCTTCTCTATTCTGCACCTGTGCTTGCTTTTTTTTTTTTTTTTTTTTTAAGGACCATTTTAGATTTACTGAGAAGTTGAGTGGGAAGTAAAGAGAGTTCCTACATAACCCCTCACACACTCGACATCCCTGTTAGTAACCTCTTGCATTGATACATCTGGTATGATGAGCCAATATTGATGCAGTATTATGAACTGTAGTTCATAGTTTACCTCAGGGCTCACTGTTTATGTTGTACATCGGATTGTTTTGGTATTTTAAAAAATGTATTGTTCCATTATAGTTGACATACAATATTACATTAGTTTCAAGTGTACAATGTAATGATTAGACATTTTTATAACTTATGAAGTGATCACCACAATAAGTCTGGTACCCACCTGGCACCATACATAGTTACTACATTATTATTGACTATTTTTCTATGTTATACTTTACATCTCTATAATTATTTTATATCTGAATATTTGTACTTCTTAATCTCTTTCACCTTTTTCTCTCATCTCTATACCCCTTCCATCTGGCAACCATCTGTTTGTTCCCTGTATCTGTGAGCTTGTTTCTTTTGTTTTGTTTGTTCACTTTTTTAGATTCTATGTATAAGTGAAATTATATATATTTGTTTTTCTGTATCTGACTTACTTCATTTAGCATAATACTCTCTCAGTTCCTCCATGTTGTCACAAATGACAAATTTTCATTCCTTTTTTTATGGCTGAGTAATACATTCTGTGGATTTTGGCAGATGTATAGTATCATTACAGATATGCATGATTACAGCGTCATATGAGTTCCATTTATTTACCCTCCCCTCACTCCCCGGAACCCCTGACAACCACTGATCTTTTTACATAGTTTATTTTTGCCAGAGTGTTTTATAGTCGGAATCACACAGCATGTAGCCTTTCTGATGGGCTGCTTTCACTTAATAATATGCATTAAAGTTTCCTCCATGTCTCATTGTGGCATGATAGCACATTTCACTGAATAATTCCATTGTCTGGATGTATCACAGTTTGTTTATCCATTCACCTGTTGCTGGGCACATTGTTTCCAACTGTTGGCAATTGTGAATAAAGCTGCTATAAACATCCGTGTGTAGCTATTTCTATGGACATACATTTTCAAGACATTTAGGTAAATACCAAGGAGCTCTGAGCTTGCTTTTACTACTGAGCATCTCTAAATCCGAGGGGAATGTGATCCATTTTTTATGCAATACATTTCTATCTTGTGTGTTTTTAAACTGCAACTGCTGCTTCTGACTCTATCCTTACAAGCTTTCCTTAACTTGTAACCATATTCAGTGCCTTTCCTCACTTGAGTTGTCATGTCCCATTAGCCACTATTCTAAATGTTTTTGTTCAGGTTTCCTGTAACTCTACAAAGCATTATACTCAGGCTCTCGCACCCATTAATCCAGAACAATCGCTCTCACTAAAGTTAGTGATAATTTCCTAGTTGCCAGAATGCTCTTCGTCTTGTCTGTGTTAGCTGGTATTGCTATGTGATTTATCTCCAACCGTAGATGACTCACACTTTCAGAAAGTTCTCTAGTTAGCATCTGTGCTAGTGTTCTTTCTTGCCTTTGTCTTTATGATATTGTTTTCCTCTTTTCCATTTCTCATGTAAGTACTGATGTTTCTAAAAGTCTCATCCTCAGACTACCTTCATTTTGCTTGTGCGTCAGGAAGTCTCTTTCCCGTAAGCTCAGCCTAGTCTCTAGGAGAAATTCACCAATCTTTATTTCCAGTGCAGTTTTCTCCAAAGCCTATGGCCCACATTTTCACCATTTTATTAAACATTTTCATCAGGGTGCCTTTAAGACACCCCAGACTCAATATGTCCAAAACTAAATGATCTCGAGGTAGCATAAGTGAATTTGGCAGGGGGTGGGGAGTGGGATGGCAGTGGTGGTGGTGGTGATGTAGAACTGTTGTTTTCTCCCTTGTGATGGTGGTTACATTAGTAACACCTCAGAATAGAATAGTTTCCCCGCCTGCTACATGGTTGAAGAAAATCATAATCATTTTCACTTCTGACCAATCCCTGCATTTCTCTATATTTATTCTGAGACTGAGATTTCCAGATAAGATATGATAGAGTATAGAAGGGTAGACTAGCAGTGGTCCATTGTATTCCAAATCTATCTAGTGTTCACGCACTAAAACTATTAAAACCTTCAGATTTGTGGGTACTGAAGATGATTTTCCCGGTACTCTGTCTTTTGCTCGGAGTGACAAAGAACCAAGTAGTAGATATAAAAGCACATCTCTTGTGCCTTGCTGCATAAATGCTTGCCAGAAGACTGGAAATTGGACTAAGAGTGAACATGAACTTTTCCATCTGACACTTAAAGAGAATCATTGTATCAACACAGCACAGAATGTGCCTGAGAACAACCTCCCAGCCATTGATGTTGAAGGTTAAATCCCAGAACTGCCCCTCTTGCTCTAGGATAGTAAAAAATACCAGCGAATTATTTTCTCAAAAGGCATAGGAAACATTGCCCGGAAGACTCAGAGTGAAAAATTGCCTGTGAAAAATGTTACATTAAGAATATTATATAAAACATTTGCTTTGCAGTCTGTGGAAAACAAATAGGAAATTATAAGAAGAGAACAATTTGAGATGAGAGGGAGTTAGCTAAGATGAGGATAAATTGCTAGTAAATTAAAAATATCAAGTCAGAAATAAAAATCTACATTGAAAGTGGTAAGGAGCAGAATTAACAATTTAGAAAATCTCATCAATGACATATAGGTTAAACCTAAGAAATTCTAGGGTAGAGAAGAAAAAAAGGTTCTGAGGGAAAGGATAATACATAAAGGAATCTAAATAAAGTCCCTATTTCACAAATTCCTGGGAGTGAAATATAGGACAAATATAAAGAAAAAAATTACATAACTTTAATGAGATGTAAAAGAATATTTAAATAAGAAACATAACTTATTTTTGGATGGACTTTACATATGGAGATAGGAACTTAAAGATATGATAGAAGAAAATATTGAGTTGTCAAACACTTTATACAGATTAAAGAGGCACACATCCAATAAAGTTGATGAAAAAGGTTTTCAAATAGACATGTGAAAAAAATATTTTTCTAATTACAAGAGTAAGAAAAAGTTATCTAACCATTCTTTTTAGAACTATAAAAATTGTTTAATATTAGGTGCCATATCAATGTAACATTAATGCCAAAAAAGAAATATAACTTCAATAGAATCTAAAAAGGCATATGGTAAACTTCAATGTCCATATGAACATATGTCCTTTATATAACAAAGAATATTTTAAACCAACAGTCAACATACTTACAGTAAAGCAGTAGGGATAGTCTCTCTAATAAAGAACGAAACAAAAATATTTTACTAACTTTATTCTAGTGTTTTGAACAGTGTAACAAATACAAAAGTAAGACAAATATACTATTGATAGACATTCCTCAAACATAACATGATTAGATATATATAAAAGCTGTAAGTTTCTGATTTATTTAACCAAGGATACAGGAGGATATGAATGCATTGTGAGCAGCTGTAGATGCAGCATATATTTCCAGTTTTCTCGTGTTCTCTTTTCTCTTTGTGGGGTTGAGGTGGAATCTGTTAGACTAGAGAAAGAAGCCAGTTTCTTATTTTGCCTCTGTCCTTTTAAACAGGGCTTACACCCCCATTCCAGAAGAAAGTACAGCGATAAATCTACCTAAGAGAAGATTTATATGCATCCTCTTGTTTGTGAAAATAAACAGCACTAGCAAGACCACATTCTTCTCAGGGCTGGGGGATAAAGCAGAGTTGGTGCCCAGGAATTCCCGAGCAATATCTCTTTCTCTAGCTCTGTAATGTCCCAGGAAGCTCATTTTCCACAAGTTTTTAAGAGAACCTTACTGTTTTTGGAATAAGTAAAAAGTCTCAGAAAAATGACCACACTCACTGTACATTATCAATAATTATTCAAACAGTATAATGAGGGAGCAGTCCACTTACTCTAGCACAGTGGTCGGCAAACTCAGTCAATAGAGCCAAATATCAACAGTACAACAATTGAAATTTCTTTTGAGAGCCGAGAACTGACTTCTTGCGCATGAGCCACGGAGTTTCAATCACACCCTGCATGAGGTATTTTGTGGAAGAGTCACACTCAAGGGGCCGAGCCACAGTTTGCCAACCAATGCTCTAGCAAACAACACAATTAAGTTCCTAGGCATAACCTTCAGAAAAGCATAGCTTGCTAGGTACAAGACTACACTTTATTGTGAAATAGAAAAGAAAACATGAAGCATAGAGACACAGCATGTTTCTTTCCGGAAAGTGGTAAATAGTATGAGAAGTTATTCTTCTAAAGTTGTTTGGGGAACAAAACAATCCTAAAGTTCATTTGTAAGAACAAATACCATAGGAGAATAAATAAAATTTGAGCATAGAAAATCAAAAGGCTTGCCCCCCAGATATAAAAAGTTATCACAAAATTACAATAAGTAGATCAGTGTAGACCTGACATGAGAATGACAGCCAGATCAGTAGGAAGATGGTGCTAACACAAAATCATAGCATCTACATGGAATTAACATATGATAAAGGGTGCATGGAAAATCAACAGAATGACTACCCAATGATTGGGTATGGGAAACTGATTAACTGCTTTGAAAAATCAACCTCTGTGTAAACACAAATATTGTTGGTTTTCTCCTGTGCACTTTTGCAATTTTTTTATAATCATGGAGGAAAGTTGTAAACAATATTTCTAGGCTCTTTCACAGAATCCTGCTTAAGGAGGAGGTAAAGAACCGAGTAAAGTTCTAGAGGAGGTCTGAGCTCTAATCCTGATTCTGCCTCTATCTAGTTGTGTGACCTTGAATAAGTTATGTCATCATTGTGTCACTTTTCTTAATTTTAAGATGATATCTTTCAATTTAATTTTCTCCAATTTCACATCCAAATCTAAAATTCCATGTTCTCAGGTATAATAATATAGTAGTATTCAAGGCAAATCTCACTCCCATGAAGAACTGTATCTCCCAAGGATAATAGGATGAAATCTGGAGTTAGAGTGCCTGGGCCCCAGCCTTGATTTTTAACACGAGCTGTGTGATCTTAGGGAAGTTTTACATCCTCTCTGTATCTGTTTCCTCTGCCAAAAATAAACTGGTTCGTGCCCTGGCTGGTGTGTTCCACGGTTACAGCATAGGCCAATGCACAAAAGGGTCTCAGGTTTGATTCCTGGTCCAGGGCACATACCTTGGCTGCATTAGCTGCGTATTAGATCCCTGGTCCTGGTAGGGGCTCATGTGGGAGGCAACCAATCAATGTGTCTCACCTATCTCTTCAGCTCCGCGCCCCCCCCCCCCCCACACACACACACACTCAAAAAATAAATAAAACTGAGGGTCACGATACTACATAGTGTGCTTATTGTGAGAAATAAAGCAATACACACAAGTGCATAAAACAGGGGCTGGCGTATACTTACTCAATACTTAATACATTGTTTTAAACTTGAGAGGCCAGGAGCAAAATTCTACCACCATCTACCCATCCACTCTAGCACAATGAAATCAAGGCTTTCTTCTTGACTTCTTTATGGAGATTCCGATCCATATTTGTAAGAGAGGTTATTCTGTGATTAGGGAAAAAAGTTAAGGTGATTCTGATCCTCTGACCTTTTATTCCTAATCCTCAAGAGACACTATCAGGGTCTTTGAGACAGAGTAGCCATTCCCAAGCTCTATGCAGGTGAGTAATCTTGGGCATTAGCACATTCAAGACCTAAAAATGCAATGAGGTAAAAATATTTTAATTTATTTGATAGTTAAATTTAGATGCATAGGGGATGGATTTGATTTTTTTCTCAACATTATCAATAGTTTCAGAAGTTTTTAATATCATTTGAGAAGTATAAGACAAAGTTTAGTGCATTTCAACACTTACAAATTATCTGCTAGTACTTAATATTGGTAGTCAAATCAAAGTTGAATCTTTTGAAGTATTGGTTCATTTTCCAATTATGCTCTAATGATTTTTAAAAATATTAATAAATGGCTATGATAAATTCTTTTATATTTTTCATTTAGTCATAGGCCCTCTAAATATGCTATTGTCATTTAGTTTTATTACTGCTTCCTTTTTGTTCATTTTAGTATTTCAACAAGATGTTTCCTTTAAACAAGAATGTGTACTAAAAATTTCCCCTAAGTTCTAAAAAAGGAGCTAGTTACAAACCTTTCAGTAACTAAAATATAGGTTAAAAGTCTCACCATGTTAAATCCTATCTTTGCTTCGTTTCAACTGAAAGCAAAGTTCAGATTCACTCATGGATGTTAATAATAGGTCTTATTTTTCTTTTATCCCTTACCAAGCATATTCCATTTTTTTCTGAAATACCCCGGCTGCTTTTACTATGTCTTCACTGATGCCCAGACTTGACTGTTTGGGTCATGTGATGGGTTGTGTTTTACAGAGAACATGCCCACGGCCATAGTAAACCTTGACCCAAGAGCATTGGGAAATAGTAGAGACCATCTCTCTTATTACTGCCTGTCTCATCAATCAGATGATATTATGGGCCAGATCGGGTTAGTGGGAAATTAGGCTTATATATTTGATATAAGAAAGAGTAGACATAAGTTTTCTAAATTGATATGGAAAAACCCTAAATCAGAGGCAGCAGAAAGGGAAATAGAGTTTTTATGGCCATTGGGATTCTGGCTAGGGTACCCATTTCACAGATAATTTTGTATGCAACATGTTTTGAAGAAAAGGAAAAAGAAGTTTGGTGTACATATTGAACAATCCACCTACAGAAGTTTTTTCTCTTCCTCTCTCTAATTGTCAAATTGGTAATTAAACTTAGGTGAACGGGGGACGATTTTTATTTGTTTTTACAACATATCTCTTAATTTTCCCTACATAAGTTCAGAAAGTGAAGATTTATTTGAAATAACAGTAGAAATTTTGGATTAGATGCCAGTAAATCTTGAAAATGAGAATTTGTTGAATGACCAGAGAGGTCACTGAGGCAACTATAAAATCAGAATAATTATCAGTTTCTTCTATTTATATTGTAGTATTAATTTCCTAGCTTTGGAGAAATGAACCTATTATATTCAGAAATTGTTTTGTATACTAGATTCTGATATTAAATTAATTTCAGATTCTTTTAGCGACCACTACACTCACTTTAAAAGAGTTGTGAAGGCTTTCCTGATCAATGCTTTAGATGAATCATTCCTGGGAACATTATATGGTAAGTTAATAATATGAATGCAACAATTTTTTTCCTTTTTCTGATTTTTAAACCATAATTACTGAGTGGCCAGGTTATTATGATCTCTGAATGCATAATAATCTGGCCATTCAGTGTGTGTGTGTGTGTGTGTGTGTATACATATACATACATTAGAGGCCAGGTTCATGAATTCGTGCATGGTGGGGTCCAGCCAGCCTGGCCAGGGGAAGGGGACATGGGCAGTTGGCCAGCCTACCTGCTGGTCGAACTCCTGGTCAAGGGGACAATATGCATATTAGCCTTTTATTATATAGAATTTACACTGAGTGGCCAGATTATTTTGTGTTCAGAAACCATAATAATCTGGCCACTCAGTGTACATTGTTTTAAAAAACCAAGGAGACCCAATTGTAGAGCCCTCAAGTTATTGTTCCCTAAAGAATCAACTATACAAAAGTCCATTCAAAAACTTGTTTATTATTTGACATGTGGAAAGGACAAAAGAAATAATGTGACAGTTCCCTGATCTTAGAACATTTACAGTGAATTTGAAAATATAGGATATGTACTCTTAAAATAGCAGAGTAGTTCAACACTCGTGTTGTCCCAGCCTCTGTAGGCTCCTTGAATTTCACCAAAAGTTATTCTGATTTAAGCTTCCACGTCTTTGCATGTGCTGATCATCCCTAAAATATAAAAGCTTTCTACTCTAGATTGTCCAAGTGGATATGGAATCATTTTCACTATTAAAGCTATTTATGACCTATTCAAATAGTACTTGTCACTCCCTAATCTGTGCTATCATTATACTGAGTATGGCGGTACTGGTGTGTGTATACTTTTCATACTTGTATTGAAAATGTATTTTGCCTTTCTCCTTTTCAAGACTATGAGAAGAAGCATACCGTATTTTCCGGCGTATAATACGGCCCCCTAATTTTACAGTTAAAACATAGGTTTAGGCCTATATTCGCTGTATAAGACTGCCCCCCACTTCTGAGGCAACACCAGTTCTTTTTTTAATAGTCCGCCTCTCTGACTCTGGCCAATCTGAGCAGGCTTTTTACTAGAACACAGTGTCGTCTTATACGCCGGAAAATACAGTATCTTATATTTATATACTTAACCCTTGCATCTAGCACACTATATAAAGACTATAAGTATGTTCTGTTGAAGTTTTATCTGCATGCCAAAATAAGATTTCATTCATAGCTTGTTGAACAAGTATTTGTTGAGAGCCTATTAAGGGCCAGGCAATATTTGAGGGCTAGAGATATGTCAGTGATTATGACATGAGCTTCCTGCCTTCATGTTACATAAAGTCTAATGCAAGAGATAGACAATGAGTAAACAAATATATAATATTAGAGGCCCAATGCATGAAAATTTATGCAATGGAAGGAAGCGGTCCCTCAGACTGGCCTGCCCCCTCTCACAGTCTGGGACTCCTCACGGGCAGGAGGTAAGCTGGTGATCAGGGAAAGGCTATGCGCCATCCATTGCCAGTAGCGCAAGCCTTGGCCAGCTCTGGTTACCTGAGCCTCAGGCACCTTTGGGTGGCTGGGCAACCACCATCTGAGGCTTGCCTGTGCCTTGGGCTGGCCCTGGGCATCTGGGGTGCTGAGGGGACTAGGGGACTCTGGAGGCAGGCAAGCGGAGTGGTCTGCCGCCCTGGTGGGACTAAGGGGACTGGGCACTGATATCTTGTGGCATGACAGTCAATTCCCTCATTATTGGCTGTGGGAACCTCCATCTTTGAGGGCATGGCAGTCAATTAGCATATTCCTTCCTTATTGGCTGTGGGCGTTGCCATCTGTGTGATGGCATGAGGGTCACTTAGCATATCCCCTTTCTATTAGAAAGGGTAATATTAGTTCTTGGGGGAAAAGGATAAATATACAAGAGTGATAAAGAAAAAGAAAGTCTAAGTGAGATGAGTCAAAGAAGATGTCTCAAGAGGTGACTTTTGGAAAAAAAGCTGCAGTGAGGGAAGACCTAACAGAGAGCACAGCATTGTAAAGACACTTAGGAAAGACTCCATTTGATGTATTCAAGGAACAATTAGAAGGCCTGGGTGGTTCTTTCCTTTCCCTAATGCTCTGATGGAATGATGTTTTTCACATCGTTAAAATTTTATTTTAATTTAAAATGCTTCTAACCAACTAACCTAGAGCTATGGAAAGAAATCCTTAAGTATTCAGTTACTTAAATATTTCACGAGGACAAAGTGATTATTGTTGTTTGTTTTTGTGGTTATTCCCCTGAACAGATGGCACCAGGCAGAAATCATATGCACAAGACATGCTGACATCTCTTCATTATTTGGACAACCGCTTTGTCCAGCCTCGTCTGGAGGGCTTGTTCTCTAGGAGTCGTTGGAAAGAGCAGTATAAGGTACACAGGTTTGTTTGTTTTTGAATCTCTGGAGTAGGGGTGTCGAACTCAATCAGAGAAGGGGCCAAAATCTAAAATCCAGCCTAAATCTCGGGCCAAATGGTTTACTGAACAGCCATAAACTGTCATTGTGATGGAAACGCAGCGCAGTGCAGTGATGACAGCGCGGTGCGGGCCACATTGCAAGGCCTGGCGGGACGGATTTGGCCCGCGGGCCTTGTGTTTGACACATGTGCTCTGGAGGGTTGGGTAGAGTGGGAGACCTCTCAAGATTTCAGTGTTCTGTCCGGCTGAGCAATCTCAATTATTAGCAGTTTCCTTTCTTAAATAATCAGCTGCTTGTTTCTGACCACTTCTAAAGGCTATTACTGTTTAATTATTCACTTATCTAGTCAGTAATTAAGTGGTTCTCAGTGATGAATAACTTTAGAACATCTTTAGTACTTATCCCACGTGTTAAAATGAGGTTGTCACCCTGGCCAATGTGGCTCAGTTGGTTGGAGTGTCATCCCTTACAACAAAAAGTTGTGGGTTCAGTTACCGATCAGGGGATCTGGGCACGTGCTGGGTTGTGAGTTTGGTCCTTGGTAAGGGCTTGTACCGGAGGGAGCTGATGTCTCTCTCAAATCCATGTTTCTCTCTCTCTCTCTCTCTCTCTCTCTCTCTCTCTCTCTCTCTCTCTCTCTCTCTCTCTCTTTTCTCTCTCTCCCTCCCCTTATTCCCCCTAAACAATTTTTTTAATCCTCACCCGAGTATATTTTTTCGTTGATATTCAGAGAGAATGGGGGGCGGAGCTTGAAGATGGCGACCGAACAGTCGGACTTGTTCTGACTCTGGTCCCAGAACAGATAGAAACAGCGTCTGAGTCGCTCAGGGAATGTTGATTGGCAGCTAAGGGGCTTCGGAATTCTCTAGGAAGGTAAGGAAAGGTCCGCTGGACAGGATTTCCTGACCAAGAGGCCAGCACTGCTGCGGCTGCGGCGGCTCTCCCAGCGAGCTCTCGCGGAGAGAAGGCAGCGCCATCTTACCAGGAAAGGAGGAGCATCCCTGAGGCCTGGAAAAACACACAGCGGGGAGGTCCATCAAGCAGCTGAGAAGCCCGAATCGGCACAGGCGCGTGGAATCCGGGGAGTTCTTCGGTCACCCACGGAAAGGTCAGAGTTTGCGGGGACAGCCTAGGGGACCGGGGTCCCACGGCCCAGGCAGCTACGGTAGCCAGGGAGCTCCAACCCCTCCCTCAGGGTAGCCGGGAGCGCGCACTACCGGCCGCCGAGCGGCACCCAAAGAAGGCTGCAGCGACACCTAGTGCTGGGTTTGACGTAATCCTCCCCAGAAGCGGGACTTGTTTAAAACGCCACAGGTCACTGGACAGAGCGTTAAGAATCTCGGCTGTTTCGCCAAGGGCGGAACATCTGGACACCTTGGTGCCTGATCCCCTTCACCCCCTTGCTTCTGAATACTAGGGAAGGACTGCCCAGTTGGACATATCCGGGGAAATTGCAGGGGGAAATTGCCTTCCTGGAAACAAGGGATCTGTACCAGAAGAGATAGTCTGGGAGCCAGCTGGCACCCTGCCAGCTAGAGCCATAGAGAAAGAAGGCCAGAGCAACCAAAAAGACTGGGAGGTCAAACCAGTAACACTGACACCTAAGAGCTGAATTACAAACTGCCCCCCCCCCCTTTTTTTTTTTTTCCTTCTCTTTTCTTTTCTTTTATCTTTTAATTAATCAAAAATAAATGGACACAAATAACTAAGATATAGTCTACTTAAAATTAAGGATTACCTTACAAATCTGAGGTGCAGTGGAATGCTGGGAACTGCAAGACTTTTTGGGCCGAGAATCAGGAGTGCCAAATACATTAACAGAGGAAGTGAATGACCACTACTGGACATTTTTATGCTAATTTTACTATTATTTTATTTTCATTTTTTACCTCTTTTATTTAATCTTCATTTTTTATATCTTTTACTTAAGAAACGATTTTTTTTCCTTACTTGATTTTACCTTTTTAATTATTACATTTTTCAATCTCTATCATCACTATTACTACTGCTATTTTGCAATTTTTTTTTTTTCCCTCTTCAGTACCATTTTATTTTTTTTCTTTATTTTACCTTGGGAGTAACCTTCATTCTATTTTAATCTCTACTATAGCATCATTCAACCCTATCTCAACTCGACCTTTACACCATCACTCTCTTGCTAAACCTTACCCTTTTAGTCTACGGTTTATCCTATCCCTTTCCGGCTTTAGTTTTTCCTCTATTCTTTCTGTATACCCCCTGCTAAAACTCTCACTATACTTATAGACCTATGTTCCAACCCCTGATCCAAGTGTATAAATACCAATCTCTGCACTATATTAACTAGTTAAAAAAAAAAAAAAAAAAAAAAAAAAAAAAAAACTGTTCTCCCCTCTATCCTTTTCGCATTGTTTGTGTGAAGGTTGATTATTGTGAATTTTTAGGCTTGTTAGTGAAATTGTTATGCTTATTACTGTGTTGTTATTGTTGCTTTGTATTTTTTTAAAAAAAAATACTCTGTTTTTGTTTGTATCTTTTACTTCTGTATATCATAGCCTTACTTAATAATAGGGGATATTGTAGTTTGTATTAATCTCCAAGTATTGTTACTGGCATTAGCTGGGTTCAGTGGTTGTTCTATGGCAGTTTTCTCCACATATATATAGTTTGTTTCCCATTTCTCTTTTAGTTTGCTTCTTCTCTCTCTTTCTCTCTCTCTCTCCTTTCTTTTTTTCCCTGTTTTCCAACTTTATTTTGTCATTACTTTTTTCCCTCTTTTTCTATCTCTTTATCCCTCTTTTTTTTATTTTATTTACTTAATTTTTTTTAATTTTAATTTTTACTTTTTAAAATTTTTCTTTATTTTATTTTTACCTTTCTTCCTTCTCTCCTATCCCCTAAGTTGCCTTTCTCTAGTGGTCACCTTTACTAAAGGTTATTAATATTGTAAGTACATTCCTGTTAAGTGCCTCTTGTGTTGTACCAGGTAGTGTTTGTATTTTGAAATTTTAAATCAACGCAGGAGAAGGAACACCACATAACCAGACATCCTGAGAAGAGAGGCCATGGGGAGACAAAAACATAGTCCGCACATGAAAGAAAAGCAGGCATCACCAGAAAAGGAAGTAAACGAGCCCGAGGTAAGCAGCCTACCAGAGCAAGAATTCAGAATAATGATCATAGGCTGGCTAAAAAGAATGGAAGAGAAATTTGACAATAACCAAGAAGAAATGAGGAAGAACCATGAGGAACTGAAGAAGAACCATGAGGAATTGAAGAAGAACCAAGAAGAAATGAAAAATGACATCGCTACCATGAAGAACTCAATAGAAAGCATCAAGAGTAGACTAGAGGAAGCAGAGGACCGCATCAGTGAGCTAGAAGATAAGATGGAAAAAAATACCCAAGTAGAGCAGCTTCTAGAAAAAAAGATTAAAAAGCAGGAGGAGAGCCTACGGGAGCTTTGGGACATTACAAAACAAAATAATATTCGAATAATAGGGGTTCCAGAAGGAAAGGAAACTGAGGTAGACATGGAAAAAGTATTTCAAGAAATAATGACAGAAAACTTTCCTGAAATAGAAAAGAAAAAACCCACACAAATCCAAGATGCTCGCAGAGTCCCAAGCAAAATGAATCCCAGAAGACAGACTCCAAGGCACATTATAATCAAATTGGCAAACAACAATGACAAAGTAAGAATCTTAAAAGCAGCCAGAGAGAGACAGAAAGTTACATACAAAGGAACCCCCATCAGACTAGCAACTGATTTCTCAACAGAAACTTACCAGGCCAGAAGGGAATGGGATGAAATATACAAAGTCATGCAAAGGAAGGGTCTGAATCCAAGAATACTGTACCCAGCAAGGCTATCAATCAAAATTGAAGGGGAAATCAGGAGCTTCACAGACAAAAAAAGACTGAAGGAATTTATCTCCACCAAACCAGTAATGCAAGAAATGCTAAAGGGTCTACTGTAAAAATAAAGAAATAGGAAGTGAAGAAGGAACACGGGTATAGAATAAAAATGGCGTCAAATGTGTACCTATCAATAATAACCTTAAATGTAAATGGATTAAATGCTCCAATCAAAAGACATAGGGTAACAGATTGGATAAGAAAACAAGACCCATACATCTGTTGTCTACAAGAAACCCACCTCAGAAAAAAAGATGCACACAGACTGAGGGTGAAGGGATGGAAAAAAGTTTTCCAGGCAAATGGAAATGAAAAAAAAGCTGGGGTAGCAATACTTATATCTGACAAATTAGATCTCAGAGTGAAGAACATAATAAGAGATAATGAAGGCCATTTCATAATACTAAAGGGAACAATCCAACAAGAAGAAATAACCCTGGTAAATATATATGCACCCAATACAGGAGCAACCAAATACATAAAAAAACTGCTGGAGGACATTAAGAGAGAGATTAATAGCAATACAATCATAGTAGGAGATTTTAATACCCCACTGTCACCCTTCGACAAATCATCTAAACAAAAAAACAGCAAAGAAATATCGATCCTAAGTGACTCACTAGACCAGATGGAATTAATTGACATCTTCAGAACACTCCACCCCAAAGCCACAGAATATACATTCTTCTCAAGTGCACATGGGACATTCTCAAAGATAGACCACATTTTGGGTCATAGGCAAAGTCTCTTCAAATTCAAGAAGATAGAAATCATATCAAGTATCTTCTCAGACCATAATGGCATAAAACTGGAAATTAACTACAATAAAAATAATCCAAAGAAATCAAACACATGGAGACTAAACAGCACGCTATTAAACAAGGACTGGGTTACCAGAGAAATCAAGGAAGAAATTAAAAACATCCTGGAAACAAATGACAATGAAAACACAACAATCCAAAATCTATGGGACACAGCAAAAGCAGTCTTGAGAGGGAAGTTCATATCCTTACAAGCCTATTGCAAAAAACTAGAAAAAGGGGTAACAGATGATCTA